ACTGTACCCTATGTGTATCAGAGTCTTCACTGGGGCATCAGTCACCTGCCAAGCTAAAAATAAAATGATGCTTTGTGTTTATCTGACCATTGATCCATGAGTGGCTCGCTCAGGACCTCATACCAGCAATGGGGGACAGTAAGGCAGGGTTCAGAAACCACTCGAGCTCCGGTCTAAAATAACCCAAATGCAACTGAAACCTCTTCCTAGGCTTTAGACATTCTCAAGTTCCAAACATCACCAAATATAGTTAATGTCATATGGTTTTCTTAATGTTTAATACATTTAAACACATTCTGACAATTTAGAAAAAAATTATTGGATAAAATGTGATATTTTAGCTACACTTATTCATGATTTTCTGATTTTAACGCCCCCACCACATTCATCTCTCACTTCACCATAACCATCATCGCAGGTAACTCAGGGTGAGCTTGCAAGAATTAGAGAAATAATCAAGACCACTGCCAAAGCTCTTGGCCTTGACCTTGCCTTCTACAACCATCACGGAGCAATACAAGCTGACTTCCCATATTTGGTGACCCGAATGTCCTCGACAGGCGACCTCTTACTCACTTTTTAAGGTTATAATGAGATTTCCTTTTCAAGTTTGACTTTATAATGTTACCAGACCTGGAAATTGATGTCAACTTCATTTATTTTTTATTTTCTGATTTGGGGACAAATAAACATTACTTCAAATTCAGAAAACATCTACTGGATGGCTGTCACTACTTTGGACAAGTAACTTGTGCTCACCCAGAGGAAGAGTCATACTCCGTCACATTACTTGTAGCAGAGAAGACAGGGAGGCCTGGCCCTGATCAGGACCATCTGAAATCAAAATGACCCATGAGGACTTACTATTGTACAGTCGACATATCTAGTCAACACAAAAGAAGGCAGTCGTGGCATATTTCTTGGCCTCAGAGGATATCTGTTGTATCTGACACAAGAACACAAAGATACACAAACCCCCAACAAGGGTCAACTTGGCAGCTGGCCTATGTGAGTGCCGAGTGCTAAAGGAGTTTGGGGAAAAAAGAACTTTCTTTGCTTGTTGTTTTTTAACTTGGGGTGCACAGGGAAATTTTACCAAGATAGATACACTATGAGCTGGGTTTTTAAAGTTGGATGTCATCTAGACGTGATTAGCATTTTCCCTCATGAGGTCAGGCCACGGGATCCCGCGTGGATCCACGTGGCTGAGCACAAATGCCACAGACTGAACATGTGTGTGTGTGTGTGTTCCCGCCAACTCTGATGATGATGAAGCCTAGTCCCCAGGGTGCTGGTGCAGGAGGTGGGGCCCTGGGGAGGTGATGGGCCCATGAGGGGGAGCTCTCCTGAGTGGGAACAGTGCCCCTATGAAAGGACTCCCAGAGCCTGTGCACCCCTCCCACCATGCGAGGACACAGCCAGAGAAGTCAGCTATGACCCAGGGGCAGCTCCTCCCCAGACACTGCTGCTGCCTGCACCTGGGTGTGGGCCTTTGGGCCTCCAGGCTGGGCATGGTCAAGTCTGTCATTTCCCAGGCCCCGTCTAGGGTACCTGCTCCAGCAGCCCCATGGGCTCGAGCACAAAGTGCACCAAACCCGCCCAGGCCAGAAACGCACTCCGGAGCAGGGCTGTAGGGTTGCTGGAACATGCGGGTCACTCACTGTAAGTCATGTCTAAGAAAAACCAGAAACGGGGGTCTCGTGGGCAGCGTGCAGGGAGGCAGGGCTGCGGCTGGCGACCAGGTGGGAGGCGGCAGAGCTACAGTCTAAGATGAACCAGAAAGCCGCCTGCTGTGGCTGGGCACCTGCACGGGGAGGGTGCGGGGCTCCAAACAGGTTGTGGTTAATGAGGTGGCACTGCCACAAGGAAGCTTGGGGTCTCTGATGATGTGGCCGCATGTCTGTGGGCATCTGAGAAGCAACAGGAGGTTCTGAGCCAATAAAGACCAGATTTAAAAACCAGGAATAGAAATGACAAGTCCTAAGAAGCCATTTGGAGCTACGGTTTTCCTTCTAGGGAACTCAAAGGGCAGGTTCTTCATTCTCATTTGGAGTCAAACCTCTTGCCTTACACTTAAGAGGAGCCTTAATTTACTCCTCCACACGTAAATGCTAGAATTTAATGTACTGATGGACACTCAAGTCATGTATGTGTTTGTGTAGTTGTATTACATAAATAATCCAAGATGATAGCATAAATTGTACTTTCCTTCTTTAAAGATTTTTTTTTTCCCACAGGTAAATAATATAGTCTTCACTAAAGTTAAACACTGATAAACCTAACCTCCAGATTCTATGTTTTGTTAGTTGGGAATTAAATCTAAATCTCAGGTTCCTGAGGAAAAAAAAAATCCTTGACTGTGGTTAAATAAAAGAAAGCTCTTTATAATAAAATTCTCAAGTTGTTCACAAAACAACTACTTTTTGGTTAGTGCCCATTTAGAGCTACTAAACCCCAGCTTCTGTGCCCCAAGGAAAGAGCTAACTTTGCTCTACGGAAGAACTTTTCTGACAGCCTAGTGATCAGCAGCTCAGACATCCAACACCTCACAAGCGTGTCCTGACTTTGAATTTAAGAGCCACTTTCAGTGCTGTGAGTTAATTGTGTTTGAGAAATAAACAACTGTTCCAAGATATAAGGGGAAACAAATAGCATTACTGCCTCCCCTCACCCTATAATTAGAATTTCATAATACTTATAACTAGTTGGTTCAATAACTAATGTTGAAATGTTGCAGCCTCTTCATGTGTTTGCCCTAAAATATTCATCTTCCTATTTCACATCATTGATTATTCAAAATTTTATGTACGTGAAGACCAGGGCACTTAGTAGCTGTTGGAGGAATTCTGTTTCTGAGGTTTCGCCTCTGTGTTAAGATAACTAGAATAGGGATTTCTGTCCTCAGAATCGTGACCAAGCCCTCACAGAATGTCCACTCAAAAAGACATTTGAACCATGGAGACTGGAGAAAAAAGATATAATTTGATACAGAGAAAGCATCTCCTTTACCTTAAGGACAAGGAATGGGCAGAAATATAATGTACGTGTTCTCTGTCTCAAGTGAAAAACTGTAGGTAACAGTAATTTATGTGGCCCCAAGCAGTCTCCTTCTTATCAGCCTTCCGTACTTCCTCTAGTAAAAATATCTAAGTGGACAGAAGAATCATGATGCCATTCGTGTAACTCACCAATATTTATCAAGCTCTCTGAGGGGCAGATACAATTTACATACTACTCACTGGAACCTCAAAGGGAAATACAATGACTCTAATTGCTGTAACCTTAGTATTTCCACCGCTGATCCTGTACTAATACAGAAGATGGCAGGGGGCTGCTTTCTAGACCTTATAGTTTTTAACATATAAAATTATCATAATATTGCCTTAAGAACTAGAGAACAGTAGTTGATAAAATTAACATATAAGACAGGTTTCCTTTAGAATAGAATTATTATAATAGAATTACAGGAAATGGAAATATGGACTGAGGAATGTTTTTTAAGACTACATGTTTACTAGTCATTATTTTTAATGGAAAGAGAATTACTTTTCACATGAAGTACAGGCTTCGATATTTTAATAAAGTGAATTATCTTGTTTTTTGTCATACCTCTTAGCAGTTTCTATTGTAATTGTTTCTATTACTACAACATACCACTGTTCCTTAGTAGCATCATTGATTTGGAATAAAAACTAACAAATAACTAATATTGAGAAGACCAAGAAAGAGGATATGAAATATTGCATCAAATTAGCAAGAACAGTGCATATAAGTATTTTGACCAAACACCCAACCATAGGAACATACACCTTAGACATAAAGAAAGGAGGCTGGGTAACTAATCCATAAAGAAGGTGGCCATGTGCAGCGTATGATGGGGCAAATGGAAAACTGTTTTTAAAAACAGACAGCAGATGTTCTAAAGGACCTAGAAAGAACTAGAAGGTTGTTTACATTTGAAAAGTTACAAAGAAACTAAAAATAAAATATTTGAAATATATTAATATATATATATATATATATACACTTCACATATTCCCTACATGGTTAATAAACTACTTGTGCAAATATAATTGTACCTTTTTGTAGTTAGAAATTTTTCTTAATCCACAAAATCAAAAAGAAAGTGTATAACCCATGTACAGTACTGCTCACATTAGCATCAATATCATTTTATTTATCTAAGCAGTATAATTTCTCCTGCTTACAATTTTCTACAAGACTCAATATATATCCAACAATCCCTAATCAATGCAGAACTTTAAAAACATCAGATGAAGACTTACTTACCGTATATGTATGTATATTCCAATATTTTCATCAGTTTAGCTAAGAAATTCCACTTTTTTTGAAAGTGATATTTCTCTTTCCTTTGCCAAATTAAAAAAATAACTGGATATAGTTGTATAGGTACAATTTTTTGCTTGTTTATTCATGAAAAATGTAACTTAAAGTCACCCCAGGAAATTTTTTCTTTAGGATAAAAAATCATAGCCCAAAGTAGAAAACTGATGGGAAATGAAATATATAATGATTGCACCAACCAAAAATTCTCCAAAGAGTATGATATTCTTTCATGCTTTTACCTCACCCACCTCCTATGTTCTTTTTATTGAGTGTATTTTCTGATAATATAAAGGTTTCTTTTGTTAGTCTCTGAATTGTACTCATGGATTTATCTTTGTGCTTTTTCTCCCAAACCGACAATTGCTTAAAAACAATGACATATTATAACTTTACTAAATTACCTTGACAACCTGGTTTTACAGATGAAAAATCTGATGTCTGAAAATAAAGTTGATGTTTGCTTTCAACAGAAGTTATGCTTCTAAGCATTGAAACCCTTGGGCACAAGAGTACAGTCTTTACATTTTCTTAAAGAGTAACTGAAATTTTCTTTTCTGATAATTAAATGCAAATACGACTTCCAATTCAGTTTTGGAATCTGAGTACGTCCACCAGTGCTACCTGGTGTGTAATAAGGGAAGCCGACGCCTTACCTCACTTTCAGGTTCCCTTGCTGGAGCTGTCCATCATAGACCGACAAAATATCAAAATCCTCTTCCAGAGCAAAGGTGTGGAAGGACAGCTGTATCCGGTTGCGCTCTCCTGTGATGACGATCCAGGTGCAGTTGGCGTAGTTGGGGTAGCCGTGCGGAAAGCCCGGGCTCTCGATGGTGCCGTTAGGACCCTGCACCAAGCCCCCACAGGTCTGCCCTGAAAAAGAAAACGCAAAGAAAAAGCATATTAATTTAGCCTATCTCTAATCTGTGATTTAAAAAATATTTCCTTCATGCACATACATTGAGTGGTAAATTGCAACAGTGTTTGTTCTCCAGGAATAAAAGATCAAGAATCATTTTTTTAACAAAGAGGAAGAAGAGGGAAAATATACAACATTTGGGAACTCATACTATTAGAAATTTGGGGACATTTTTTTCTGTCACTCTCAAATACAGGTTCATGATACCAGATGCTCATATTTGTGAAACAAATTTGATGTTGATCATCTATATAGGATCATGTGGAAACACGCCACACACTAGTTCCTCACTGGGGGAAACCAACTGACAGATAAAATAATCATTATAAAGTTATAACGTGTATGTGCGCACACACATGCACACACACACATGCACACACACACACATGCACACACACACACATGCACACACACACACATGCACACACACACACACTCGTAATGGTATATCCACATGGCTGTGCTCCGAGGTAATGAGAATAGTGAGGGAAAACCACACTCTATATTCAGACTACCTGCCTGCACCTGCTTTAGCGACGGTCCCACAAAACAGAAGAACAAAACCAAACCACAGGAGTCTTATCCAGAGGAGACTAAAAGTTATGCGATAAGATAATTAAATTTTGCAAACACGAAGGAGCAGCCCAGCCGAGGAAGGGACCTGCTCTCTCCAATCTTCCTGTCCACGTGGGTGAGGTTTGCTGGATGGGGAAGGGAGAGCGCACCCCAGGGATGGAGCCCCCCAAAGGAAAGGTCTGGCTTCCCTGGGCAGCTCAAGGGCACAGCCCACACTTCGGCTCACTGCCCTACCTCTAACTTCCCTTAGGCCCAAGTAGGATTGCTTTTAGTGTTCCAGGTCTCCAACTGTGATGTCCTAATTTATAAGAACTACATATTTTGTCTTCAACTCCTTTGGCACAGGATTCCTAAAATGCTTGGAATTTCCCAAGTGATGGGAGCAAAGAAAAACCCTTTCTGCTGTGTTAGCACTGTGACTATGGTCCCCTCACCTGAGGTCGGGGGCTGGTTGCAGGGTGAGAACTTTCTGTCCCAGCCCCTGACCTCTGGGGAGAGCAGAGGGGCTGGAGACCGAGTCAGCCAATGGCCAGCGAGTCCATCACTCATGCCTAAGCAGCGAAGCCTCAGCACAAACCCAGGACAGGTTCTCAGCCTCCCAGGTCTGCCAGCAGGTGAAGGTGATGGGAGGGCGCAGCCCCTTCCCCAGAGGTCGCCCTGTGCATCACTTCATCCGGCTGGTTACTCAGATCTCTTAACATCCTTGGTAATAAACCCCTCTATCTAGTGATTCTGTGAGTCCCTCTGGCAATGAATCTAACCCAAGGAGGGGGTCGTAGGAACCTCTAAATTATAGCCAGTTGGTTAGAAGGTGAAATAACAGCCTGGGCTTGTGATTTGCATCTGAACTGGAGGGTCATCTTGGGGGGCTGAGCCCTTTAGCCGTGGGACATGACGTCATCTCTGGGTAGACAGTGTCATAATTGGAGCGAATCGGAGGTCAACCAGCTGGTGTCTTGAGCATTGCTTGGTGGGATGGTGTGGCGAGCCTGCTGCCCATCCCCACCCTTGTGGAAGTGCAGGCAGAAACTAAGTAACTGCATGATATTGGGGGAGGATGGGAGGGGCAGTTGAGCACCACAGAGCCACCTCCCACCACCTGAGCAGGCTGGGAAGTGTTCCCACAGAGGGGTCCTGACCCCTTGGCTCCTCATTTTGTGGTATTGATTCTGACACTGGGCTTCTCTGACAGTCCTCAGATCTCAAGAGCACTTCCAAGGAACAGGGCCTGTTTTATGAATTGCAGGCCCAGGATTCCACAGGGATCTTCTGCTGAGAGGCCAGCATCTGGGACATCAGGAGCAGCCAGGCACCCACCAATTATATTCCTACCACAGGACAAACTCAACGATCCGCCCGTTCCCAACTTCACCAGTCAATTCACCTTCCCGCCTCGCCTCATCCCACATCACCCAGGACCCCTTGCTCACCTGCTCCCCCGCGTTCCTCTGCCCACGCCACTGCCTCCTGTGTGTAAACCTCCAGGGATGACCTGCTCTGGTCTCTGAGTCAGAATGCCTGCCATGGCCATGCCTGGTCCAGACTGAGTGAAAACAAGGTAAGATCAGGACAGACAGGTCACTGGGACCTTCTGAAGGGACACCCTGTCATCATCTCACCTGTAAATATCACCACCAGGGGAGGGGACAAAATAGCTCCCACAAAATCCTGCTAACATTTAACTGACTTGAGGTTGGCTATTAAGGAGCTCTGAAACCTGCTTGGAGTGTTTCATTCCTTCTTAATCTGGCCATTTCCCCCACCAATATGTTTAAGTACATTCAAATGTTTTGACACTAGCGTATTAAGAAGGTTTTGGATGGACCTGGGCACATTCAGATTATGGCATGTAGCATAAGTACTTGAATACCAGTGTTATCCCAGCTTTTACAGTTGAACAGCAAACAGAAAATTATTTCCAACTACCTTTTGCTTTTTTAAAAGTATTTCACAATAGCAGCTCTCTGAGTGCTCAAATCGTTCCCAGTAATATCAAATGCTGGTGGGAGTTTGTGAAATCTTAATAAAAAAGATTTAATGAAAGGGATTTATGAGTTTAAAACCAAAGAACTAATAAGAAGCCCATTTTCCACTAAATTTAAATCTAACAATAACACTGTAACAAGTAGATATTAAAGCTGTGGGGTTTTGAAAGGTCTTCAAAGAAAATAGCTTTTCCAGTTTATCTAGCAATTCTTGCTTCAGAGTAAATCAAAAAAGTGAAAACTTGATTATAAATTGGAGGAAAGAAAAATAAGTTCAACAGAAAAAAAGTGTCAGCTAGAAAGTAGTTACTATTATAGACCCAACACGGTGAACCAGATTATCAAATATTAAGATTTTTCTCCAAGGAATAACATTTTGGCTGTGCTTGGGTCCCAATTAGTTAAGCACAGTGCATTATGAAGAATGAGTTGCATTTTTTTCAGTAGCTAGACTTTTCCATACGTCCTGTTAGAAACTCTGGGACCTGCTCAAAAGCCCTGAGAGGAGAAAATCTCAGGCTTGGCTGCAGATTGCAAACAACTGAGTAGTCTTCAAAGCATCTATTCTCTGAGATAGATTCTGATGTAGTTGGTCTGCGCCAAGAATATCCAAGACAATCATGAAGAACAAAAACATAAGATCTTACGCTACTTAATGTCACATCTTATTACAAAGCTACAGTAATTCAATCAGTGTTTAATTGGCACACACCTGGATAGGTAACCAATGGCACAGAATAAAACTCCCAAAACTAGGTCACAGAGATGGAGACACTAGATTTACAACAAAGGTGGCCTTCACCACACTGAGGAGAGGATGGTCTTTTCAATAAAAGGTGCTGGGCCAGTTGGTTATCCAAATGGGAAAAATACAGTTGGTCCCAGCCTCGTAGTGTATACAAATTTCAATTCACATGAATTGCAGACCTCAGCATGAAAATGTAAAACAGTAATGCTTCCAAAGGAAAACGACAAAACACGTCCTGTCTGGTAAGCAGAGACTTTTTAAATCAAACACATTTCTTTAAGAAAGTCATAATCATAGAAGAAAAAGTGAAATGGAAATACAAAAAATAGGATATATTTGCAATATATATATTTGTGGCACATTCATAATATAATAGATAAGCCTCACAAGTCAATGAGGAAAAGGTAATGTAACTGAAACTCAGTGGCTAAAAGCAGCTGGAGATTTGGGTCCCAGAGGGATTCCTCTAATATTGTAGGGAAACAAGTGGATCATAAAGTGGGAGTGGCTCCTCAGCCCTGACCGCGTCCTCTCCAGGGTGGGCCTGTCCTGGAGCGGTGAGGAAAGAGCATTTTGTGCTAAAAGAAAACAAAAACGGATTTCTCTGGCCTTTCTTTGTAGAAGTGACAGCCCCACCTGCTTTATTCTAAGAGATATTTGGTCCCACTAGAGAATCATGAACTTGCCAGCAATTTAGTCAGTATCTTCTGACCTATGAGAGTATCTTGAATTTTACTTAGAACACACACACGCCCCATGAAAACTATTATTTGTCTATGTAATCGTACTGGACTAGAGTTCTCTGAGTGAGCAGCGTTTATTCAAAATCTACACCAACACTGAATGGAAGGCCACCTCCTCCAGTTACATTAAAGCTGTGCCTGTCAGCATCGTCATGAGCTATATAAGCTGTGTGCTTCCTAACACACTTACAAACAATGGCTACCACCATGTACACTGAAACTAAAATGATTCTCCAAATAGATAATCCCCAAATGTAAACTGATTATAATTAAATGCAAATAATTTAGAGCACCCTTTCTTCATTAGTATGAGAGCTTATCACATACCATGTTAATGAATGTCTGAAAAAAAGGTTGCTTCAATGGAAAAAGGCACTTTTAGTTGAGTAAATAAAGCCACAGATGAATGTATGGAGATTATACCCTGTTGTATACATTTTCAGTTTGTACACACTTGGCATATAGAGTATGGGACTCGCCTACAGACCTACCACAAGCAAACTGCCAAGGTCCCCAGCAAATGTTTTTGCCCACCTTCCTGATATGATCCCCCAGCCTGGCTTTTATATTCTAACGGACACTTGCCTGCAAACAGAGAACTCTCAAATATTCTACAAATGTTTGCTTTTTAAAGAAATATTTAAATGTTTGATTTAAATGTTAGCCTTACAACAACTTAAAATAAGCAGATTATTTCAGCTTGAAAACAATGAATGGACAAATGTTTAAGTATGATAAGCATAATCATACATTAACATATTGCTCAACAGGAATCTATTGTAAATGCATTTGTAATTTATACTCCCTAACGGCAATGAGGTGATCTGCAGTGTTTCAGTGGTAATTTTAATCTCTTAGTGAAAATTGTGTTTTTTCTTTTCTACAGGATTGAAAAACTCAGT